CCTGCCCAGATACGAACAACTAGCTATATAATACTGTGTAAAATGCGAAGTCCTATTTTCCAGTTAACATTTCAGCATTTAAAAAAAATACATCAATTTAGTAGTATATACATATTTTTTTCTTTTTCTGGGGGTTGGGGACAGTCTTGCTCTGTTGTCTAGGCTGGAGTGCAGTAGCATGATCTCAGCTCACTGCAACCTCCACCTCCCCAGCTCAAGCAATTCTTGTGCCTCAGCCTCTGGAGTAGATGGGACTACAGGTGCACACCACCATTCGCGGTTAGGTTTTTGTATTTTTTGTAGAAACGGGGTTTCACCATGTTGGCCAGCCTGGTCTCAAACTCCTGACCTCAAGCAATCTGCCCGTCTCAGCCTCCCAAAGTGTTTGGATTACAGGCGTGAGCCACCCAGCCTACTTTTTATTATTCTAAAAATGTTAAATCTATTATAAGTTGTAAGAGAAAACAGCTTTTATTTAGCTAATTATGACTTGCATTAACATTATCTCATATTCACAACCTATGATTTGATTAGCATTAGCTTTGTTAGGAGCTATATGAACCACTATCGTAAGTTGTCATCTCATTCTCTTTAGTTAAAAACTTCTGAAAGCACTATCAGATTACTTCCGATTGTCTCTGTACCTGTAGGCAGCAGGTAATAGCTACAGTTCTTCCAGCATTAAGAACATACTTATGGCTGGGTGCGGTGGCTCATGCCTGTAATCTCAGCACTTTGGGAGGCCAAGTTGGGTGGATCACCTGAGGTCGGGAGTTCAAGACCAGCCTGGCCAACATGGAGAAACCCCGTCTCTACTAAAAATACAAAACTAGCCAGTCATAGTGGCGCATGCCTGTAATCCCAGCTACTAGGGAGGCTGAGGCAGGAGAATCGCTTGAACCCAGGAGGCGGAGGTTGCGTTGAGCCAAGATCTTGCTATAGCACTCTAGCCTGGGCAAGAGGGAAACTCTGTCTCAAAAAAAAAAAAAAAAAAAACATACTTATATATACTTTATAACATAATTGTAACATGCCCTTTGAAGGATCTAGCTGAGATAAACGAATGGTAGCACAATGGGAAATGAATTAAAAACTGGATCCTCTGAGCCACTGTCTCAAATAGTGTCTCAACTGTAAGATTTAAGAGGGGTTACTTGAGGTCAATGTCAAAACCCTCCTAGATATGTTATGCTAAAACCTATGAGGAATACAGAATTGAGTTCTTCAAAGATTCTGATAAAATATGTAATCTAAACTGAAAAATCTGCAGGAGTATCTCTTCTGTTCTTAAATGCTCACAAATTAATACTGTAAGCAAAGTTGAATATTATAATGCTGTTAATAAAGCAGGATATATACTTTTCTTTTTTCTTTTTAATCTGCCTTTGCCGCAGGGAAGTACAAATGAGGTAAGTTAAATTTTTTAAAATTCAGAGTTATATATTTGTAAACATTATGATATTCTTATTTTATAAACTGACCAGCCATTAAAGGATGTCTTTGTGTAGATTAGAACAATCTTTGGTGACTTCTAACATTTAAATTTGTAATTGTGAATTTTTAACATGGTCTTAAAATATTTAACTTATTCTAGACATCATGTATGATTTGATCTACACACACACAAAATTGAATATCATGAGTATTTGTTCCATGAATGTGTAGACAATTTCAAAATTCTTAAGCTCTGAAAAGGTGGACTCTGCTCTACTGCAGAGTAAAGCAAGCAGTTATGAAACTTGAGGAAATGTAACTACTGGAGGGTATTTAAATGTAGCTACAACCTTTAGAAGTTGTTTTTAACTTTAGCTTTTGACTGACAGTAATACATACCACTTTAAGCAGGGCCCAGGCCAGTATGTATGCTAACTCTCTTGGCAGACCTCAGGCCTGACCTGTACAGTAAGTGTTCATTTCTCCTATTGCACATGTGCAGCAACACTACTTATCTCAGAAAAGACTCTAGGCATCCAGGAAGGAATCAGCTGTTACACTAAGAAAAAGTATCACTCTGGAATCATTTAAGTCATTATCTTCAGGAAGCAAAGCTGATCTTGAGTAACTAGAGATAATTCTTTCCTCAGTTTCTACTGTGGCATATAACTGGATTATGTCCTCGAATCAAATACTCCTTAATATTTACAAGTCAATAAGAAGTTATTTCATGCAAAATTCAGTAAGCAAGCTCATTAAAAAAGCAAAAGCAAATTTCAACTTTGGAAATCAAAGCTTAAGAATAAGTTAGAGAATTAGAATTGAATTGAATGCCTTAGAATCAGAATATAATGGAAGACAATAGTATGCTGCACAAATATACATTCATAGATCTGAAGATGGTACCATTCAGACTTAATGCTGTAAGAAAATCAAGGCCAGGCGCGGTGGCTCACGCCTGTAATTCCAGCACTTGGGGAGACTGAGGTGGGCAGATCACTTTAGGTCAGGAGTTTGAGACCAGCCTAGCCAACATGGTGAAGCCCCATCTCTACTAAAAATACAAAAAATTAGCCAGGTGTGGTGGCGGGCACCTGTAGTCCCAGCCACTAGGGAGGCCGAGGCAAGAGAATAGCTTGAACCTGGGAGGCAGAGATTGCAGTGAGGCAAGATCGCGCCACTGCACTCCAGCCTGAGCGACAAGAGTGAGACTCCAACTCAAAAAGAAAACAAGAAAATCAAAAGAAAGTAGGTATACAGACTCACAAATGATAAAAATTAATCGAATTTCCTGGGAACATATTACTATTTAAAGGATCTCAAGCTTTTATGCAGCTTTTAAAAATATTCAGACTCTTTACAAACTCCAGAACTAAATCAGACAAGTCATTTGTAACTGACTGTCAAGTATGTGAAAGTCAGAGCAGGGGATGAACTCTTAGACACTAGCTGAGGGAGCCAGGAAACAAAGATATTTATGAACACTTACGTAAAGCAATATACAATACACAGAAATTCCTATGATTCAAACATCATTAAAAGCCCACAGAGAACAATAAGAGGTAGTTTTAAATGAGGAAAGCTTGCTGAGGTAATGTTTTTGAATAGGGTTTGTAAGATATTAGCTAAGTCATGGAAACAAGGCAAGAGCATGTAAAGTGAAGGATCCTACTGTGCTGGGGGAAGGACACCATGTGCTGAGCTGCATGGCTGTATCAGTAAATGATGGAGAATAAAATTGGTCCCACTCAGGAAAGCAAGTAGCCTAGCTACGCATAATAGTTACTGCCAATCAGAAGTTATGAGGTCTTACAATTCATCTAAAACTGCTAATAGTCACAATTTGAATTTTCAGCACACCCCTGGGGCAGAGTAGCAGCTCTCTGCTCCAAGAGGCATGCAAGGTAAAAGGAAACACAGTTTGAGAATAAAACATTTACCACAAAGGTCAACGCACAAAAGGATTAAGTTAATGCACACATTGAGGAGTTGAAAATACTTTTGAATTTTAAGGTATTAATTTATATATTGATAAAAAAAGATTTCAAATTCAACATGCTAAATTTTATACAGTATGATAAACTAAAAAGGAAAAAAATTTTACATCTGTGTGTTTAATAAAATATTTTATAATCTTGATGCTTTTATTCTAGGCTTTGTACAAGCTTTACAGTGCAGCAGCAACCCACAGACATCTGTATCATCAAGCTTTTCCTACACCAAAGTCGGAATCTACTGAACAATCAGAAAAGAAAAAAATGTAATCCAAATTTTAAGAAATACAGGTGCATGACCAATTGTCAATTAAATATTCAGTTTTATGTCTCCATGCAAACATTCAAAGTGCTTCCATCAGAACAGAGTAAAATACTAAACACCTCTGAAGACTGCAAACTGGATTAGTTCTTTTACTTCAGTGTTTAATAAGCAGATGTATGTATGCATGGTTATACTATTTTGTTAACATGTACAATTTCCTGATTTTTCTTCAAAAATGCTGTTATAAAGTATCTGTCTATTTATGATAACAGTACACGTGTTCTGCTTGAATTTACTAAATTCTACTACTGGGTTATAATTAAACCATGTGATATTCCACGTTTGGATATGCTCATTTAATTTCTACAGAAAAAATGTTAAAATTATTTCACATAGCCATTTGTTAAAGCACAGCATCATAACTCAGCAGGCTTGATTTAATCTGTATCATCTTATATATATCACAATCTTATTTTTAAGCACATTTAAGAGTCCTTCAGTTGCTTTATCAAAAACTATCTATTGCTTTTACATGATTTAATAGAATATAAACCTCTTGATAAAAAATGCACAAAAAAATCACTTTGTATATGTGAGTTTCACTGCATTGTATATTTTTTCATTTGGTACACAAAGAATGTATTCTTCATAGGTTTATTCTTTTAATATGTGAACTATTATTAAAGTTTACTCTGGTTCCTAAGATTAAAAAAAAATGCTTACTGAATTTGAAAATGAGAGGTGCTGATATAGAATGATGAAGGTTTATCTCTTTTTTTAGACTCCAGATGCATTTTATTTAATGTTGACATCAGTACAAACTTAAGTTTCTATTTTACAAAACATGCTAATTCCTTTAGGTAACTTCTAGTTCTTAATGACTAAAATCTCTAGTGGAGTTTCACTGAACAGACTTAGAGGAAGAAGGAAAGTGTGTTAATGAAAAAAGTAATATTTATCTAGGAGTAACTTTTTATCCAAAACAGAGTAACTTCTAAAGACTGTCACAGAAATGGGTACACCTTAATTAAGTAGCAATATAAAGTAAGAAGTGACAGGAAAGAACAATTAAGTTAGAGGAGTGTGGGAGTTCACAAGATATATAAACTTACATCTTAGAAAAATCTGACCACAAGTTCAGCAAATTATCTTTTCCCAGTGATAAAATTCCACTAGCCATACTTTCATTTTTCAATACCCCTTTTCATTACCCCTTTGAATTAAATTGATTCCTTTGTCTATGGCCTTTTGAACAGAAAAATGAAATACCGCACTATGTCTAAAACATGGACTCAAAAACCACACGCTTAGTTTCCACAAAAATATATTTAATAAGCTTGTTATATAAAATCAAACACTCAACTTTGTCAACATTTCTTCAATAATTCAAACTCACTGATATGTAACTGGGAGCAGTTTGTATTCTGGAAGACTTCCTAAGCTAAAAGTATATTTACATATTTACAACACCTGTAAATATAACGGAAGAACACTTCAAATAATGTTGAAATTCACAGAATTCTAGAGATTTACAGTTATAGTTTAGAAGTATCACCAAATTGTTTGCAATCAAATGTACAGCACTAATTATGAAAAATGTTTTAACTATCAAACCAAAAGGGGAGAAAAACTGGCAGGGAAATACATGGTATTAAAGTCCTGTGATAAATACTTAGAAGATTAAAAAGTAATAATATACAATCGATTTAATGACCAAAAATTCTTTTTGAATCCCTGATTGTCATTTTTGGTAGCTTAACCCAGTCTTTCAGAAGGCAGTACACTATGCTGTCAGGAACTCTCCACTGTCTCATCAGAGCCATGCTAAATGCAGTAACAGCCCTGGCTGAAAATAAGGAAGATGATGTTAGCAACTTGGGAGTTTCACACACCTTCACCATACAGGCTAAGTACTTATGCTTGTATGTATTCCTGAAAGATTAAAAGGCCCGTCACCCATTCATACCAAAAAATACTTTCTCAACATGCTTTAAAAGGATTCCTTACTTTGTTTTCATTTTTTTATTTTTTGAGACAAGGTCTGGTTCTGTCTCCCAGGCTGCAGTGCAAGTGGTGTGATCTTGACCCTGCAACCTCTGTGTCTCGGGTTCAAGCCATCCTCTGACCTCAGCCTCCCAAGTAGCTGGGACTAGAGGCATACATCATCATACCTGGCTCATTTTCTTGTATTTTTTGTAGAGATGGGGGTTCACCATGTTGCCCAGGCTGGTCTTAAACTTGAGAGCTCAAGCGATCCACCCACCTCAGCCTCCCAAAGTGCTGGGATTACAGGCGTGAGCCACCACGCCCAGCTGGGTTCCTTACTTTGGAGGGGGAGACAAACATATATCATATATAAATATTTATCACAATAAGGTTCCAAATCCTATTTTATATTTAAACGGCATCATGGTAATATTTAAACCATCCCTTTCCAGACAATATTTCACACTAGAGCAGTAAACATTTTTTTTTAAATACTGCAGATTTTTTTTTTTAAAGAAGGTACTACTGCTGTTAAGAAGTTAACAAGTGATAATTTCCTATTTAACATCTGTTCATAATGACATTTCCACTGCATTCTTCCATCAGGAATACCAAAGCAGTTCCTAATATACAGCATCTGAAAGTGTTTGTCATATTGGCTCTTAAAATGATACACTCATTTTTCTTGTTCAATAAAAGAAAATTTCTAATAAAAAATACATGTAAAGTTAGAATTTTATAATCTCCACAAAGGAAGCTGCATTTATTAACCAAAGTACTTGTTTGTAATTTTTTATCTGTGAAAATATTTTAAAGCTCTTATAAAACTTAAATTTTATTTTTCAAAAATCAGCTCAAAAATTTTTTATGTTGTTGGGCATACCACTGCTGTCTCTGCTTTCGGTTTTCCAACTCTGTAAGGAGGGCTTGTCTGTATGCTTCATACATTTTAACAATCTGCTCCAATTCTTTCATGAAGAGCAACTTCAGCATTCCCTGGTACGTATCCAGGTCAGCCAGCTGAAAGAGTTCCCACTTCAGAATGTGGTCGTATCTGTTTTAAAACACAATCATATATATGTTCACAACACATACATAAACATGTATTTCTAGCAAGAAACTAGTCTGTTTTTTAAAATGTCAACCTTATTGATAACTAAACAAACCATAAGTTTTAATTAAAAAGAACTGAGTAGCTGGGCACAGTGGTGGCGCCTATAGTCCCAGCTACTTGGGAGGCTGAGGTGGGAGGACTGCTTGTACCCAAGAGTTTGAGACCAGCTTGGGCAACATAGCAAGACCCTGTTTCTAAAAATAAATAAAACAGTTCTTTAAATATCTGAGTTATTAAATGCTGTTTACATATAATTCTCTTTATTTTTTATTTTTATTTATTTTTTTGAAACGGAGTCTTGCTGTGTCACCAGGCTGGAGTGCAGTGGCGTGATCTCGGCTCACTGCAATCTCCGCTTTCTGGGTTCAAGCAACTTCTCCTGCCTCTGCCTCCTGGGTAGCTGGGATTACAGGCACGTGCCACCACACCCAGCTAATTTTTGTATTTTGAGTAGAGATGGAGTTTCACTATGTTGGCCAGGATGGTCTCAATCTCCTGACCTTGTCATCCGCTGGCCTCAGCCTCCAACGTGCTGGGATTACAGGCTTAAGCCCACCACGCCTGTCCTACATATAATTCTTCTAGGGAAAGGAGAAAACTGCTAATATTACTTCATTTCAATGTAAGTTAAAGAATACCTATTTCTTTACCCATTATTCTAATATTAACAGCAGATAGCCATGAACACAGATTTCAAACTACAGTGGTTCTATAATTTCTGAAGAACATATGTTGTGCTATTGTAAGTTCATCAAAAGTTAATTGTCAGGAACTTAAGAATATTTTAGACCATATTGTGCTTGCAAATGATAATGCACAAAAATGGATGGTCATTTGCATCATTCATGTTGATGGATCTTTTTGAGGAATGCTATTCACCACAGCAAGCAAGGAACCAAACAGAAGGAGAAATGAAGAGGAACCCTCATTCGTGGATCTAAGTATTCCTGAGGCTGAGTACATAGCATCTAAAAAAACAAACAGGAAAACTAAAGAAGGAAAGAACTGTTTTTAAAATGAAACAGTAAGTAGACCGTAGAAGGCTTCAGTGTGGTGAAGGATTCACAAAAGATTCTGTTTACACATATCATGGAAGACTGTTAGTAGTCTTTCAATGGTAAGTAGATCCCTGCTTAGCAGTAGTACCTTTAGTAGTTGGCTACATAGTTCCATTTCAGTATCTGATGAAGACAGCACTCTAATATTCTCATTTTAAAGATGAAAAACACTAAAACCTAAAGAGGCTCTTTACCTCTTGCAAAAGTGTTTAGTGACTAAAAGTTCAGAAAGGAAGAGAACTATGGACCAAGATGCTTCAAAGTAGTGGTTTTGAATGTTAATATCCACTAAGACCAGATAAAGAACTTGAATTAGGGAAAGGCATCTTATACCTAAAATTATGCCTCTCAAATCATACTGCTGAGCAGACATAATAGGAAGCTCTGATTGCAAACTCTAGTATTATTTTTAATGATCGTTTATAGTTCTTCCTACCCAGTGGTTCTTTGATATTATACCATATTCTTTCAAAAGGACTAATATTTTAAAATGAGATTTTAAAAAAGGGAGACAGAAAACATACTGAGCAGTTGTGTGAGCTACTATACTTAGCATTTTGACACGTTTCTGTCCAACTTAAGCATGTGTAACAGAAATGTCAGTAACACAACATGCAAAAACTGGAAGGTATATATATTTAATTGGACTCCCAATTTTACTCAGTTACTTGAGAGTTGCAAATTCATTTTTTATTTTATTTTATTTTTTGTTTGAGATGGAGTCTTGCTCTTTTGCCCAGGCTGGAGTGCAGAGGCGCGATCTTGGCTCACTGCAAGCTCCGCCTCCTGGGTTCACACCATTCTCCTGCCTCAGCCTCCCGAGTAGCTGGGACTACAGGCGCCCGCCACCACGCCTGGCTAATTTTTTGTATTTTTTAGTAGAGACGGGTTTCACCATGTTAGCCAGGATGGTCTCGATCTCCTGACCTAGTGATCCACCTGCCTCAGCCTCCCAAAGTGCTGGGATTACAGGCGTGAGCCACCGCACCAGGCAAGAGCTGCAAATTTATTAATAGATGCAGATTTTGGTAGGAAGCTTTGTTCTTTTTAGTGGGAAACTCCAACTACTTGTGAACATAAATTAGAGTGATACTGTAAGAAATATTCAATAAGCCTCCATGAAGAAACAGTTATAAGGTCCTTAGAACGTCCACCTTAGAACGTCCACCTTAGAACGTCTTAGAACGTCCACCATTCACGTAACCATTCCCATAACTTAAGATTTTATGTGTTTCTTGGAAACAAATTCATAATTCCTAACAAAAAATCTTAATCTCCCAGAGTTAGCTAAGAGGCAATTCAGCAATGTCTACTAATTCAAGATGGTTACATTTATACCAGGTGAACTACAACAATGTTAAACTAAACTAGCATCTGTGTACTTTCTAGCAAGGGAAACAAAGAACAAGAATAAACTGGTAAATATTATACTTATTTTTAAGACATGAATATTCTGTATAAGTATTTGAGTTATGTCTAAAGGAAGAAAACAACCCTTCAAACAATTTTGTGGCCTTTTTTTTTTTTTTTTTTAGAGATAAAGATCTACTGTTTCCTAGGCTGAAGTGCAGTGGCTAATCACAGGCACAATACCACTACTGATGAGCACAGTAGTATTAACCTGCTCCATTTCCAACCTGGGCCAGTTCGCCCCTCCTTAGGCAACCTGGTGGTCCCTGCTCCTGGGAGGTCACCATATTGATGCCAAAGAGTACAGACATCCGACTGGCATAGTGCACCACAGCCCAGAACCCCTAGGCTCCAGCAATCCTGACTCAGCCTCTCAAGTAGCTCGGATTACAGGCGCACCACCATGCCTGGCCAAGTTTCTGACTTGCCAATCAGCATTCAGCATCAAGAGTACGATCATGGGTAGAAGCAAAAAAATGAGATTAGAGAAAATCCTTTGGGGGGAAGAAAGTGCACTCCAAGAAGGGCACAGATGTGAAAAAAACTGCAAAGCATGGAATGGAAATCCTATTCCAAATTCTTTCTTCTGTAGCTTCTATATAGTTACTACCCTTCTGCCTATAATCACGTAAGTGTGCCTGCTTTTTCTGAAAAGTATAAACTCCCATTCTTTCCTTCTTAATTAGCCATGAAATCTGCTTCCACAAGTTTAACTTTTAGTCATTTATACTGTATATACACAGGTAAATCATTCAGAAAATTGGGTGTAAACCACTCCAGTAGTCTATGCTTTTAGCATCTCTTTTGCTCTGTTTTTCCTAGGGCAGTATTCTATTCAAACACTACTTATAAATAACCCATATATACAAAAGCCAGTTGCTATAATGCTACCAAAAACAACCTGTCCACATTGCATGCTGACTTCAAGATCAACAGTGCTGCCATCCTCAGCTCCAGGTATCGCCATGTAGCCTAAGTCTCCTGCACCCACCCGCCTAACACTGTGCCCACTCTTGCCTTTTTCACCTGTATCCAGAGCAGAGTCAATGGTGATACTGCAGGATTGCCAAGCCACTGGAATACAAAATACCCCTGCCACACACTGCTGAGAACTAGTGTTTTGGTGTGCGTGTCAGAAATAACAGAAAGTATGTATGTTCTTGACAATGTTTTTGCTGTCAAATATTAAATTTTATTTTATTTTATTTTGAGGTGGAGTCTCACTCTGTTACCCAGGCTGGAGTGCAAAGGCGTGATCCTGGCTCACTGCAACCTCTGCCTCCCGGGTTCAAACAATTCTCCTGCCTCAGCCTCCCGTGTAGCTGGAACTACATACAGGCGCGTGCCATCATACCTGGCTAATTTTTTGTATTGTTAGTAGAGATAGGGTTTCACTGTGTTATCCAGGATGGTCTCGATCTCCTGCCTTTGTGATCCACCTGCCTTGGCCTCCCAAAGTGCTGGGATTACAGGCGTGAGCCACCACACCCGGCCTAAATTTAAAAATTTTATCCTATAGTTTAGCTTGAGTACAGTTATACTAACGATTATAGACTTTTGTGAGCAGACACAGGAACACAATTTTACAAAAATTAAAAAAAAATTGAAAACACAATCTGTTTCTAAATCAAGTTTTAGAAGTATATGCAAAAACTGTGTTGGTAAATTACTGCAAGAGATAGGATTAAAGAATTTCAGATTCTCAATTGTCTGAAAAAAGAGACAGGCACTTTTTTTTTTTTTTTGCAAAAAATGTCTTTTTTGTTGTGATAATTGATTCTTCATTATCTAATTCATAGATAACCACTCACCCTTTGTTGACAGAATTTTAACCATTTCTCAAAAAATAAAATAAAATAAAATGAATAAAATTAGCCAGGTGTGGTGGCAGGCGCCTGTGAGCCGAGATCGTGCCACTGCACTCCAGCCTGGGCAACAGAGCGAGACTCCATCTCAAAAACAAACAAACAAACAAAACACAGAATATTAACCATTTCCATCCTCTTCAGAAACATTAATTAGAAGTAACTAGAAAGCAGCAGGCTTCTGGACCTCTTGTTTAAGTTTTTAAGCAGTAAAGACGTATAGTACTTGCTCTCTTTTTGTCAGTCTGGCCCATTTTGGAAGAGTTACAACCTATTTGCTAGTTTTCTTGAGTTTTATAGTTAGCTTATAGAACCACAGAACTGAAAAAGACTATAATCTTCAGGAATCTGTTTCTTTCCGTAAGAAACCAGGAATTCCATTTAAGTACTATCTCTTCCACCCAAAAGGAAAGCTTATTATGCTATTTCTTATTAAACATGACGACAGAGTAGAAATAACATACAATAGAAAGAATAACTCTTCTCAACCATATCCACCCCCAGAAATACCAGGGCTAACAGCTGGGCACATATTCTTCCAGATTTAAGGAAAATAAAAACGCATGCAGATATTTCGTATGCTTTAGAATCAGCACACAAACATACAGTAGTAAGTCAGGTGGTATCAAGGGAGAAAAAAAAAAGACGAAAATAGGAAAGAAAATGCCATCTGCTATCATTCCTCTTTTCGGCAGTAGTGGGGGGGCAGTCAGGGTCTCGCTCTCTGTCACCCAGGCTGGAATGCAGTGGCACAAGCACTGTTCATGGCAGCCTCGAACTCCTGGGCTCAAGCGGTCCTCCCACCTTAGCCTCCCAAGTAGCTGAGATCACAGGCATACACCACAGCATGCTGCTAATTTTTAAATTTTTTTGTAGAGACAGAGTCCTGCCATGTTGCTCAGGCTGAACTTGAACTCCTCAGATCAAGCTATCCTCCCACCTCAGCCTCCCAAGTACTTGGGACTACAGATCCATGCCAAAAAGCCTGGCTAATTTTTAAAAGTTTTTTGTGGAAATGGGGCTCTTGATATGTTGCCTAGGCTGGTCTCGAACTCCTGGACTTAAGAGATCCTCCTGCCTCAGCCTCCCATAGTGCTGGGATCACAGGTGTGAGCCACTGTGCCAAGCCCGGGTCCTTACTTTTATCACAAGTACTGTATCACTTATTTACAAATTAATCTTCCCCTATGAGAATGTAAGTTTCTTACTTGTATCCCTTATAGCAGACGTCTGCACACAAAGAAATGAAGATTCTATAAATGTTTGAAGAACTAATATTTCTAATTAATGATTTTCACACATTATAAACTATGATATCCTTTATTCAAGTGAAGTATTACTTAGAAGCCCAATATTATTAAGAGTAAAATATGGCACACTACTTGGATTAAGCAGCCCAGAGACTCCATTCAGCCCTTCACTCACTCCTCAAACAAATTTGTGTGCTGTAAATGTACTTACTTCACAGGGGCTCGAGCGTAAACCTGAAGCCAGTCAGGAATTTCTGCAGTATGATACGGATTTGCAGGTACCAGAAGGGACTGATTTCTTTCAGTTTGCTGTGGCTGGTATGTGACAGGAGGTGGTTGATCATACCGAGGTACACTAAGAAGAGAGGAGTGACATTCTTTAGGATAAACGTCTTAAAATCTAAATAAGAAATTATAAAGAACAAATAATACTTAAGCATTTTTCAGTGTGCCTTCTGCCCAAACTGACTTATACCACCTAAAAGATAATGTATTTTAAAGACATTTCTTCTGGCTGGTATTTAGTCTTTTCAAAAACAGGTTCAAAGGAGGATATGAAAAAGCTGGAACTAAGTTTTAACCTTTACACAAAGACTTAAAACTAGAATAGCAAATCCCCACAAGAAATAGTTATCAGCTGTAAATTTGTATCAGAAAGGTTGACAGTTTCTAAGAAAGGATGTTTCCTTCCTCCTGTAGGCTGAAAATGGGGGTTGGGATATGTAGTGAGGCAGCAGTGAGTATTGTGTTGGAAATATCTCTATCCAATGTAGATAACTTTTCAACTTTTGCCAAATCAAGAGAACATATGGGAGTCAGAGTTGATTAGAACCTATTTTAAGTCACAGAGATAAAAAATAAATAAATGCTTTAGTTCTAACAGCCTGTGTATGCTGTGGGAAGCGGACATATTATATGGGAAAGTGTAAGGAAAGCACTGAACCACCTGAAGGTTAATAACTGAACTCGAGGAGGCCAAAAGGGTCTATTTCAGACTGAAAGGGGTCTTCGCCTTCAAACACAAAGATTTATGTGTATATGTGGCCAACAAGCATATTAAAAAATGCTCATCATCACTGATTATTAAAGAAATGCAAATCAAAACCACAATGAAATAAATACAATTCCACATCAGTCAGAATGGCTATTATTAAAAAGTCAGAAAATAATAGATGCTGGTATGGTTGCAAAGAAAAGTGAATGCTTATACACTGCTGGTGGGAATATAAATTAGTTCAGTCACAGTGGAAAGCAATTGGGAGATTTTTCAAAGAACTTAGAACTACCATTCAGTCCAGCAGTCCCATTACTGGGACTATTTCTACAAAGGAATAGAAATCATTCTACCATAAAGAAATATGCATGCACATGTTAACTGCAGCACTATTCACAATAACAAAGGTATGGTATCAACCTAAATGCTCATCAATGGTGGGCTGGATAAAGAAAATGTGGTACACAGACACCACGGAGTACTACCCAGCCATAAAAAAGAACAAGAGCATGTCCTTTACAGCAACATTGATGGAACTGGAGGCCATTATCCTAAGTGCATTAATGCAGGAAGAGAAAACTAAATACCACATGTTGACAGGTAGGAGCTAAACACTGAGTACACATGGACACAAAGAAGGGAATAATAGACATTGAGGTCTACTTGTGGGAAGAGGATCGGAGAAGCATGAGGACTGAAAAACTACCTATCAGGGACTGGGTGTGGTGGCTCACGCCTGTAATCCCAGCACTTTGGGAGGCCGAGGTGGGAGAAGCACCTCAGGTCGGGAGTTCGAGACCAGCCTGGCCGACATGGAGAAACCCCCATCTCTACTAAAAATACAAAACTGAGCCAGGTGTGGTGATGCATGCCTGTAATCCCAGCTACTCAGAAGGCTGAAGCAGGAGAATTGCTTGAACCTGGGAGGCGGAGGTTGTGGTGAGCTGAGATTGCGCCATTGCACTCCAGCCTGGGCAAAAAGAGCAAAACTCCATCTCAGGAAAAAAAAAAAAAAAAGAAAGAAAAGAAAAACTACTTATCAGGTACTATGCTTATTACCTGAATGATAAAATAATCTGTACCAAATCCCCAAGCCATGCAGTTTACCCATGTTAACCTGCACATGTACCCCTGAACCTAAAATAAAAGTTAGGGAGAAAAAAAAGAAAATGTGGTATATATAACAGTGGGGAGAAAAAAATGCACGTGTATATTAGAAAAGGTCACTGTTTATAAACTGGGATTAAAATAAGGTTAGATTATGCTGTGGTTAACGATTTTAAAAGATCAATGTGCAAATGGCACTGAATTCTATCTTCAACTCTTCTTTCCTAAATAGGTTCAAAGGAAAATATTCTTTGATAGTACAATTGGGGTGGGGAAGAATTGGGACTTTGAAGTCAGGTATACCTGGATTTGAACCTCAGTTTTAACACTTACAAACTATGCAAATATAGGCAAAACTCCTCCACTCTCTAAGCCTCAGCCTCCATACTTTTAAAGTGGAATAATAAATTCATACCACAGGTGGTTGTTCTCAGGATTAAATGACCAAATGTAAGTTAAGAATTCTGTATAAGGATTGGCCTAAGATAGACAACCAGACAGTTATTAATACTACATATGTGAGCTTAAGGGCAGCGTTTATTCTCTCATGTTCAACTTCTACCAAGTTGCTGAGAGAAGTAAATTAATTAATTATGAAATTGCTTTAAAAAAACTATTAAAGTTATGTAATAACATAAGGTTAATGATGATTGTATCAGTCTATTTTCACACTGCTATAAATAATTACCTCAAACTGGGTAATTTATAAAGAAAAGAGGTTTAATCGACCCACAGTTCCATAACTGGGAGGCCTCAGGAAACTTACAATTATGGCAGAAGGTGAAAGGGAAGCAAGGGACATCTTACATGGCAGCAGGAGAGAGAAGGGGGAACTGCCACATGCTTTTAAACCATCAGATCTCGTGAGAACTCACTACCAGAACAACATGGGGGAAACGGCCCCCATGATTCAATCACCTCCCACCAGGTCCCTCCCTCAACACATGGGGATTACAATTTGAGATGAGATTTGGGTGACAACACAGAGCCAAACCATGTCAATGATGAACAGAAAAGTAAACTCTCAAATCTGGTTATCTGGACTGCAACCATCATTGCCACCTGATGACCACACCACAAGTTTGATTCTTTCAAAGGACAACAACCTCAGTAGTTGAATAAACATCGATTGGGTGCCACTACATGGAATCATGGGAAAAAAACAGATTTTCAAAGTTGAATTAATAAATCCAAATATGTAAAATAATTAAAACAACACAATAATGACAAAGCTCAGTTTTCCACTTGGTAATACTAAAACATATATTCATAACTATTTTAATGGTTCTAAGAAAATACAAATGTCCACTATAACCAAAAAACTGTATTATGCCAGATGACACTAAGCAACATTTATCAAAATGCAGATGATATTTTACTCTTTCTTAATCTTGTGGCTCAGCTTTTGAAGCTCACATGTGGTTAATTTGAAATATTTGCAACTTCATTACTAAACTAATACTAGTTTTTATGTACTTTGAAATCCAGTGTGTATTTACACTTACAGCACATCTCAATTTATATTAATCACATTCAAGTGCTCAACAGCCACATATGACAACTGGCTACAGTATCAGGCAGCAAAGAGCTAAAAGTCTGGCAACAAAGCAGATCTACCCGGCCCAGTATCAATCAAAATAGCACAAAGAATTACTGGCTATATTTATTAAACAGATATGGGATGTTTTGTTCAGTCCCAATTTTCACTTTCTTGTCTAGTAATAGCAAGAAACAGAACATACAATCATGTCTGAAATTGAATAAAAACAGCAAAATGTTATAATTCAATTGTGCATTGTGACTTAGGGGGTAGGTCTGTATTATTTGTAAAAATTTAAGTGTAAGAAGGCAGAAGCCTTAATTATTTCATTTTCTGGACACCTATAACAAAAACATTCTGGCATTATTATAGCAGAATCTGATCATAAGAACAATGACCCTGATTTTGAGGTAGTTTAAAAAGTACTTTTTTTAACTTATTAAAGTCATTTATTGCTAAACATATGTTCAGAGAAAAGTGTAAATTTTGAAATGTAAGGCTTTCAGGTCTCAAGCTTTAGGATGCTTTTCTCTTGGATGAAAATACCAGTCCAAAATCTAACATTAGACAATCCCGAAACTAAAAGTGGAAAATAAAGTTGATACTCTACCTAGGAGCACAGGGATGCCTGTACTGAGCCTTCTTATTTGTGTGATCTACATAATACGTTCCAAATTCCGATGACTCAACTCGTTCCCATCCAGGAGGAAGCCCTTCTCGCTCAAGAGGATGGCTCCAGTGAGTTGTATTTGTGTTATGATCTATATAGTATTTTCTCCCTCTCATTGTCCAGTCCACAGACCAGCCAGGAGGAAGGGGTAAATCTTCAGAACCATGGTTAGTCAAATTTCCTAAAGATGTAGCAGCAACTCTCCCAATACCTATCGGAAAAGAGAAAATGATAGAGAAGAAACAGAACAATTATTCAATGTAAAAAATGTGTCAGCTAGCAAAGTCATGACATTAACTATCCTGATTGTACTCTTCTATTTAAATTCATGATTATGTCCATTATGATGGTTTTCATAAAACTAGTCAGTATTACTACTAATTAATTATAAAAATGGGGAGGAACTAGACTTTGAAATTGTGGAGGGTTTCTGGCTGATGCTTCCATCAACAGGCCATATAAACATTTAACTACAGGTTGAGCATCCCTAATCCAAAAATCTGAAATTTGAAATGCTCCAAAATCCAAAACTTTTTGAGAGCTGACATGTTGCCACAAGTAGAAAATTCCACACCTGAGCTTATGTGATGAGTCATAGTCAAAATTCAGTCCAAACTTTGTTTTATGCACAAAATTATTTAAAATATTATATAAAATTACCTTCAGGCTATGTGTAGAAGGTATATACGAAACATAAATGAATTTCATGTTCAGACTTGGGATTTCTTCCCATGATATCTCATTATGTATATACAAATATTCCAAAATAAAAAAAAAAATCCCAAATCTCAAACACTGCTGGTCTTAAGCATTTTGAGGTAAGGGATAATCAGCCTGTAGTAGTAAAGCTACTTAAGTATGTATTCTGCCAAAAGAAAAGTGGGAAAAAGAAAATTTCCCGATTAAAGATTTGACATTTCATCTTAAAAAAAAATGCAAAAATGAACTTGTAAAACCAGTTTCAGTTATAAATTCTTAAAAGTAATCTGGCTGTGCCCTAGAATTCTTAAGTAAGCTTAAGGTAGCAGGGTGTAAGGTCAACATACAAAAATTAATTAAATATTTATATATTAACAAGCAACTGGAAACAAGTTATTGAGATAATATCATTTATAATAGCTCCAAAAAATTGTGCAGGATCCATATGCTAAAAACTATAAAACACTGATGAAAGAAATAAAAAACCTATCACATTAATAGACTGAAAAATTCAACATAAAGTTAAGATGTCAATTCTCCTGAAATCATCTTTACAGTAGTCCCCCTTTATCCATGGGGGGATCCATTCCAAGACTCCCCGTAGATGCCTGAAACTGCAGATAGTACATAACCCTGTGTATGCTATGTTTTTTCCTATACACACGATTCTATGATGAAGTTTAACCTATAAATTAGGCACAGTAAGGGATGAACAACAACAAAATCGAACAATTACTACATTATAATAAAAATTGGGTGAATGTGATCTCTCTCCCTCTCTCGAAAGATCTTATTGTACCATATTCATCTATTTTCAGACTGCAGTTGCAGAGGTAACTGAAACTGTGGAAAGCAAAACCATGGATAAAGGGAGACTACTGTCATTCCAATAAAAATTCCGGCTGGGCATGGTGGCTCACACCTGTAATCCCAGCACTTTGGGAGCCTGAGGTGAGCGGATCACCAGAGGTCCGGAGTTTGAGACCAGGCTGACCAACATGGTGAAACCCTGTCTCTACTAAAAACACAAAATTTAGCCAGACGTGGTGGGGGGCACCTGTAATCCCAGCTACTCAGGAGGCTGGGGCAGGAGGATCGCTTGAACTCGGAAACAGAGGTTGCGGTGAGCCGAGGACGCGCCATTGCACTCCATCCTGGGCAATAAGAGTGAAACTCCATCTCAAAAAAAAATAAAATAAAAAAATAAAAAATAAAAAAAATTCCATGGAGTTTTTGTAGATACAGATAGTTATTAGACAAACAGATTTTAAAATGTATACTGAAAGGCAAAAGAACTACAGAAGCCAAAACGATTTTTTTGAAAAAGGGATAAAGTTGAAGGACTCACACTACCTGATTTTTAAGGCTTACTATAAAGCTACAGTAGTCAAGACAGTGTGGTACTGTCAGAAGAACAGACAAATAGATAAACGGAACCAAACAGAGAATCCAGAAGCACACCCACACAGACATGGTCAACTGATTTTTGATAAAGGTGAAAGGGCAATAGTGGGGAATGACGTTGCAACAAATGACGTTGCAATAACTGGACATCCATATGCAAAAAACCTCATCACAACCTATACCTCCCACCTTATATACAAATTAACTCAAAATAGATCATATATCTAAATGTAAAACTATAACGTTTTTACAAGAAAAAAACAGAATAAAATTTCATGAGTTTAGTTTAGACAAAGAGTACTTTTTTTTACCATGATGCTGAAAGTTCAACTCATAAAGAAAAAAAACTGATTAAATTGAACTCTGTCAAGATTAAAAACACTTGTGAAAGATACTATGAGAAAGAAAATCAAGCTGTAAACTGGGAGAAAACATTTGCAAATCACATTATTAGCCAAAAACTTTGACGTAGAATATACAAAGAACTCCCAAAACTCAACAGTAAGAAAACAACCCTGAGCCTGGTGCAGTGACACGCACCTGTACTTCAACCTACTCAGGAAGCTGAGGAGGAGGGTTACTTGAGCCCAAGACTTCAGGTCTGTAGTACACTATCATCATGCCTGTGAACAGCTACTACTCTCCGGTCTGTGCAACAGAGTGAAACCCCTTCTCTCAAAACAAAAACAGAAGAAGAAAAGAAAATGACCCAGTTAAAAAAAAAAAGGGGGGGGTAAGAACTTTTAACAGGCACTTCACCGAAGACAACATATTGACAGTAAATAGCATATGAAAAAATGCTCAGGATCATAATTAGCCATGAGAGAAATGCAAATTAAAACCATAATGAAATGACAATACACATCTATGAAAATGGCCAAAAAACAAAACAAAACAAAACAAAAAAAACCCTGACAATACAAGTTGGATACAGAACAACTGCAGTGCCCATACACTGCTGGTGCGGACGCAAAATGCTACAGTCACTCTTAGTAATTTCTTATAATTTCTTAGTCAAGTTTAGTAATTTCTTATAAAGTTAAATATATGCTTTTCATATGCTACAGCAATCCCATTCTCAAATATTTACCTAAAGAAATGAGAAGTCATATTCACACAAAATCCCATTTGTGAATATTTACAATGATTGCATTCATATTTGCCCCAAAGTGGAAACGATACACGTCCTTCAACAGAATGGATAAACAAACTTTGGTGCAACTGTACAGTGAAATCTACTCCAGAGTAAAATGGAACTAATTATTGGTACATGCAAGAATCTCAAAGATGAATCTCAGAAGTATCATGCTGAGGGAAAGCATCCAGTCTCAAGTGGCTACAAACTGTATGATTCCATTTTTATGACATTCTTGCAAAGGCAAAACTATTAGGACAGAAAACAGTGATTGCTAGGAACTGGGGGTGAGGGACAGGAGTTGACTATAAGAGGACAACATAAGGGAATTTTGGAGGGTGTTTGAAATGTTCTATATTCTCATTACACAGGCATTACATGAAATCTATACATATGTTAATACTAAGAACTGTGTAACTTGAAAAAAGTTAAATTTACTATACTTTTTAAAAGAATAATCTGGCTGCATAATTTTATTCTCACACAAGAATACTAATAGCTTATGTATAAAACATCACCCCAAACTCAGTGGCTTAAAACAAGAAGTATTTATTTGGTTCACTACAGGTTGGTGATACTGGCTGAGCTCAGTAAGTTTTTCCTTGACATTTGGTACAAGTTATCTTTACTGTCTCATTACTTGATGAAAGTTATCTCCTGTATAACTTTCAATATGAAGCCTTACTGATGATCAGACCTCCATTTCTTCTCTGACTTAAGCTGCTATTTTTTTTTAACCCCTAGATCACTCTGTTCCAGCCACACTCACCTCCTGGATGCTATTCTCAAACATGGCAGGCACTGGCTGTTTATTCTCCCTAGAATATTCTTCCTTCAGATATCCTCTTGGCTCACTCTCACCCTCTTCAAGCCTCTTCTCAAATATCTCAATGAAGTTTATTCTTACTATGGCAATCTACATCTGCCGAGCTTCTACTTACCGTTTTACATTTTTTATAATTTTAGTTTGTTTATTAACCTACAAGAATCCCACAAAGAAGATTCTTAGGACAGGAATCTTTGTTTTGTTCACAGATATATCTCCTGTCTCCATAACAGTGTCTACAGAATAAAGCACATAGTAAGTGTTAAATAAATAAGCTGCAGTAATAAAGACAGCGTGGTATTAGTGGAGGAGATACACACATCAATGAGACAGAAACTGCATAAATATTTTCCTTGATTTTTGGACTTATTTTGCCTCTTTCACTCCCACATTTTACTAGTTCTGAAACGAAGGTGTTTATCACAAGAGAGTAAATTTGTTAGCCACTAGGCAGCAAATATAGATATATTATCATTGCTGGATATGTTCTAACACAGTCTTAGGAAGACAGTATATGGTTCATGCTATTATTAATCCTCATTATTTGTAATGGTTGCACCCCAGACAAAATTTTAATGTAAATTTGAATCCCTGTCCCTTAAAGGTACAAGGATACAGCATTTAAATGAAAAGTTAGTGTGTTAACAGAAGACTGCCAGTCAACCCAAGGCCCTAACTGCCAAATTTAGAATATCTCAGAATGGTCAAAATAAGAAAGACTGGGTGACCATTGAGGTGCGAAGGAGTACCATGCCAGAGCAAAACATCTACTAGTCAAAAGTTCCCAGCCGACTCTGAAGAGCTTTTAAAATTACAGTTGGCTGGAAACTAAGGCAAAATGAAAACACCAAGTTTACCTTTAAGGAAAGGCAAATGAAACAGACCCCAGTGACAAAAGGTAATTTAGAAGAAACTTTAAAATTAAGGTAAATGCTTCAATTCAAACTCAGATTCTAAAGAAGAATATGTAAGTGTATGGATAAATACAGGTTATTGGCATGTGGTTTAAGAAACAGTTTTTATTTAAATACAACATACAATGCATATGCATAAGGCTAGTCACTGCAGCAACATCTGTAGTAGCAAAAGGCTAGAAATCAACCAAATGTCCAATAGCAAACTGGATGATTACACTATTACACGCACA